GTCATTGTATGTTAATGATATTACTGAATTTCTTGGTGATGATGAAGATAGTTGCATTGGTGTCTATATTACTCTTCGCTGATATGTTACTGTTTGATAGCACTGTCCGAGGTTTACAAAAAAGATTGAATTATCCTGCAATATATTGTAAAAAGTGGTCTTTAACCGTCAATATTAGTAAAACTAAATGTATGGTTTTCAGGAAAGGTGGTAGATTACAGAAATGCGAAAAACATAATTTTAATGATACCCAACTAGAAATTGTGTCTTTTTGCACATATTTGAGTGTTCATTTCTCATGCAGTGGGTCATGGCATATACCACAAAAAAATTTGTCATGTGCAGAAAGTATTAAATACTTTAGTTCCCAGCAATCAAATTTCAGAAAATTAACATTATCAGTTCTTCTCAACATCTTTGACCACAAAGTATTCCCAACTTTAGTTTGCTGCTCAGAAATATGGGGATTTCATCACTGGATGCAGACAGAGTATAGAATAATTTCTTAAAGCAAATTCTCTTTCTTGGTAGAAAGGCACCGAATTTAATTGATGTTTATCTTTCAAAACTAGACAATTGTAAAATACTGGACACGGTTGTTATACCAAAAGGATAATGGAATATTATTCCACACATACCGTTATCAATATAAATTAGCAGAAGTTGGTTGACAATGTTGAGCCCATAATGTAAAACAATTGTTAAATAAATATGGTTTAAGTTATGTGTGGCACAATCAGGATGTAAGTTGTTCTCATCTATATATCAATAGATCAACAGACATCGTTTGAATTAATATGCTCGTTTCCCAAATGTATTGTATATCAATCTCTGAAGAAGGAATAATGTTGTGAAGACTATTTGTCAGTTGTGAATGTTACTTCATATAGAATAGCCCTAACTAAATTTAGGTGTTCAAATCAAAGATTAATGACAGAGGAAGATAGAAAACTTCATACTGCTAAAGATCAACGATTTTGTCATCTATGCATTGTTCCCTGTCTTGAAACAGAGTACCATTTCTGCTTAATATGTCCTTTTTTGTCAGATTTGATAAAATTGTTACCTGAATATTATATTGTAAATCCAACATATCCTATTTTATTAGCTAGTATCATCCAAAATCCCAGATGTTATTAATTGTCTAGCAAAGTATGTATTTCTTGCCCTGAAATAAAGAAATAATCAGTCGCAATTGTAAAGAAGAATATGCATTGTACCCTCTGTACATTGTGCATACATGTTGTACTACTTGTATAATGCGGAGAGCGGAAGGTCGCGGATTGGTTCCCCGACCGCGTCATACCAAAAGACGTTAATATGGTACTTGTTGGTCCCTGCCTGGCGCTCGGCATTAATTTTTATTTTTTTTTTATTTTCCATATTTCATGTACAGGCAAACATGTATAGATAAGTTTCATAATAATACAATGGTATATGTATACATGTATGAAAATGTACAGTTGGCTGAAAAAGTAAAATTGGCTGGATTATCTTCCAAGTAATAGATGTAATGTTGACCAATATTGAAAAAACAATTGTTCAGTTCCCGCAGATAAGTAAACATATCTTGACATATCATAGTGACGGACAATTTCATTCTTTAAATATTCTAACTTTGGTTTGAAACCATTTATGCTGCATCTGTAGATATAATGTTTGACAACTGAAATGATTTCATTAATCGGATTATTGTTTTTTCCTTTCATTCCCAATATAACGATTTTATTTGTAAGTTCCAGTTGTAACTGTACCGAGTTCAACCATGATTCTATTTCTTTTCATAATTTAAAAACAAATTCACATTCCCATAACATATGGTTGATAGTTTCTCTTTCTTGTTCACAAAATGGACATATTGGTGAGGATGTGTATCCCATTTTATAAAGTAGTTGTTTTGTTGGGAGGATATTGTGGATAATTCTATATTGCAACCATTTCAAGTCTGTGCTTCGCGAACATTTATTCGCAATAATGTTAAAAAGTTTCCAGTCGTTTTCAGTAAAATCACTCTTTAGAACTCTGTCCCATTTTGAAAAACTTGGTAACCAAACAAATTTTGAGTTCAAGAGGGAGGCGTATAGTTTTTTACTCCCAATTATGGTGTCAATTTTAGCTAGTATCATCCAAAATCCCAGATGTTATTAATTGTCTAGCAAAGTATGTATTTCTTGCCCTGAAATAAAGAAATAATCAGTCGCAATTGTAAAGAAGAATATGCATTGTACCCTCTGTACATTGTGCATACATGTTGTACTACTTGTATAATGCGGAGAGCGGAAGGTCGCGGATTGGTTCCCCGACCGCGTCATACCAAAAGACGTTAATATGGTACTTGTTGGTCCCTGCCTGGCGCTCGGCATTAATGGGTACATCAAGGACTGGTCGACTCGGAGTCAGTATAATGTGTCTGAGTGGGGTATTCATGCTTCACTTCGGCATGGTATCTCAGTGGGCTAGCACTATAAAACCAGCTTCAGTCTGGGCTAGTACAAGCAGCCGCACCTACACATACACACGCATGCACGTCGTCATATGAGCGAAATATTCTCAAGCACGACGTTAAACCCAATTTCACCTCACCTCACTTGTATAATGAACCTGTTGCCACCTTAGTGTAACAATCTCCCCCTCTCTCTATCTCTCTTGATATCGATTGATCTACAAAGATTTCATTATTTAATATTTTATTAAAAGATTAATAAATGTTATCTAAGATATTTAGGGTGAGTTTCGTCATTAAAAAAGATTGTTTACCTTCATATCAGTCGCTGCCACAAGTTTGAAGTCCAGAGAACGCGAGAAATTGTAATAACAAGTACAACAAATGAGAATCAAGAGCACTATTCAGACAATTTTGTCTTTATTAAGTTTGGGTTTTTTTTGTCGGTCGACCCATGTTCAAAATTTGGTGCTACGTGAAACACATAATAACAATGATGCCCTTATAGGATTTTTTTTTACTTTCGATCGTCATCCATCCGGAAGGGATGTTATGGTGGACGAAAAGGGAGTCTAGTTTGGCTCTCTGGTAATACTTGGGACGTAACACCAATGACTGAGTTAAGTTTCCGGTCGCTGTTAGCAATTATGCAAGACACTCCACATTCTCTGTCATCCACTGTATTATATCGTCATGCAAGTACAGTGAATTAGTCGGCAACACAGATACAATCCGATCCCATTTTCGCCCAAAGACGCCGACAAACGGCAATATCTGATGTGCTCGATTCGCCTTTCAGCAAACCGATTTCCCGTCCTATGCCTTAATACTGAGGAATACATCGATTCCAGATCTGTCTTCCTTTAATAGTTTTCTGTTTTGTTATAAACACACTTGCTGGAAATAAATCAAGGATTTGCTTATACAAAGTCGCCATTTTGAATCTAGATTGATGTTGAAGTGTCGTTCTGGGTACTCAAGCCTATAAGCGATACCATTATAGCCCAAGACCATCTTTCCCTAAAACATATGTGAAGACCTTCCGTAATATTCTCTCTAATGCCTGTGAAAACCCTCCCCTCAAATATCTCATATCTGTGACATACCTCCCCTCAAACCTCTCACATTTGTCAAAATCTTTGTCCTAAAACTCTCATGTCTGATATAACTCTCTTCTTAATTCTGTCATGTTTGTCAAAGTCTTCGCCTCAAAACTCTCACATTTGTCAAAGACTTCCCGACAAAACTCTCATGTATGATACAACTCTCTTCTCAACTCTCTCACATTTGTCAAAGTCTTCGCCTCAAAACTCTCATGTCTGTGACAAGCATCCTTTTAAAATTCTCATGTCTCTGACGACCCTACTCTAAACATTCTCATGTCTGTGAAGACTGTCCGTTCAACACTTTCATGTTTGTGGGGTGCTTCCTTCATCTTCTTCAGTTCAGTTTGTGACAACACTATATCGTGGAGGTGCCTCTCCACGTATCATGTCAACAGATCATCACATCATTTACCTCAACAGTCGTCAGAAATGAGGTGAATCTTTCTCGCTCCTGAAGTGCTATGTGGTGTCGCTGAAGGATGATCAATACCAAGTTCAGATACACCATCTGCATGCTGACTCTATTCAAGACGTAACATACGCAAAACATACACCTCAAGCGTCTTGCGGACTCCACTCTTCTACACTGAACTGAATTTGAACATACTTTTCCCACATGTTTACAATTTGGTATTGCTTATGAAGATAAATGGTATCATGAACATAACGTTAGAACCGACATCATATCATTTGTTATTATCTTCGTGGAGTTACTCGTGGTCGACCTGTAGGCTTACGATCCTTGTCATTAGTTTGCCGATGTTTTCTTGCCAACATCTGTAGCAATAGCCTTCAATGAAAAGCCTTCTAAATACTAATAACTTGCCATCTTTGAGTAGCTGTCAGACGAGGAGGCCCGATATTTGCTCAACAACAACGAAATCAATTGATTCTCCAAGTTACCGACCTGTAAGTGCAGTTTACCTTATTTGCCTTATGACGGGTACATGTATTCATCGCAGCACATGCAGATTTAAAATCAATGTATGGTGCACCCGAAGGGCCAAAATAATCATGCACACAAACATAATTATGATATAAATATATATGGCTATATGGGTGTTAAAATTCATAGATGTTGCGATACCTGTTTTCATGTGTATGTATATATCAAGTGATTTACTGTATTTCTAACAGTACTAATCGAACGCTTTAATATATGCTTAAAATATCATGAATACAACATTGATACATGTGAATACTTCCCACACACGCTCTCTCCATTTTAAGGCCAGAACCTAAAGTGTCCTAACAATCCTAACACCACATGGGAACGCCTACATCGATTAAACAATACCAACGTACGCATCAAATCACATTGAGCAATGCAAAATTGGAAATACGAGTAATGAACTATAAATGTCAACGTGCAGCCTGGAGGCAGTAGGGCTTTAATTCTGAGCCTAAGTTGCCTCTTCTGCTCGTTGATCACTGACTGTCTCATCGCCGTGACGTAGGGAGCGTTGGGTGAGCTGCTGCTCTTCTCCTTGTGTCGGCCTTCGTCCCCTGTAGACATACAGTCACTACAAGTTAAACAAGTCAGTGTAAGAGAGGAGGACCAACTTTTATCGGTGTGTTATCAAAGCGTGCGGGTCGATATACCGGACAACTGCTACATTTGCTGTCTGTTGCGGCAGCAGAGAGATCTCCATATGGATTACCATGCCGCCCAGATTAAAAACGGAGAATGTCAAATATTTAATTTCCTCCTGGAAGTGATTCGTGATTGCATTAGAACATAGCGCGTGCGACGTTACGCCAGGACGTCACGTTCCCATCTGGAGCGGTGCACCAGGCTTGAGGTCGTGTTCTCGCTGACAACTACAAACATGACACAATCATGAAAATTACATGGAATAGTTGCCAAAATCCACCATCAAACGTGCCCTTTACAAAATGACAACCCTTTCGCTCATGACGTTTCACGACTCAACAACGTCGCATAACGTCGTTGCCGAAGACGTGGAAAACGCCACCGATGAGTACTACTACAACTACGAAGACTCTGTGAACAATGTACCCCTGGACGAGTTGGTGCCGAACGCCCTGGGGTACGGCCTGACTCTGTTGTTGGGGCTTGTGGGCAACACGCTGGTCATCGTGTCCGTGGCCAGGTACAGGCGCATGCAGAACGTCACCAACATATTCTTGCTGAGTCTGGCCACCGCGGACCTGCTCCTTGTGCTCACCTGTGTGCCTGTAAAGGTGAGTAGCACACCTGTACCAAAAATAACGTGGATGATATAGGCCACTTCATTCTAACATACGGTAATGTGAACTACCTGTAACGTCATGTCTTACTTTCACTTTAATTGACATACAATGTTGCACCAACACCACGTGTTTTTGTAAAACGTTGTCAGTTTGTGTTTTAGAATATACTGAGGTCACCATGATGATTGGTATTTAAATTTTGACATGAGCGTTAAGATTCATTGATGACGATTGAAGTCTTCCAAAATGTGGAGAAATCAATGAAAGCAGATCATCACTGATGTATGTGCCTACAGTGTATCTCTCAGTGTTAACATATTGTTTGTCAAGAACAACCAAACACAAAGCCTTTGCTTATATGTGTTTGAGTGATGGTTTTGGAGAGGTTATGCTGGAAATATTGTTAGAACCATGAAGGTTAATGTTCCAAGCATATTTACTGTTTGTTTCAATGACTGAGGCCTCCATTTTACAACTGCAAGTAAGTTGTAAGAGAGCAATTATCTTTGCACGCCAATGTAGACATTTCCTCCATCTTTGATCTGTGGACCTTAACCTGCTATTAGAGCTCCCCCCCCACTCCTTTGCGATTGCTTACCAGATGCGTATTTACTACGTGTTTATATTATTTCGCCCCTAGTGTGAGGTTCACTTTCAATCAAATGTTTGCAAGTGATTCCATGGCTTAAAATTGGAAAACCGAGCAACGTTTTGGTTTTTGGGTTTTTGTCCACGAACCTTAAGCAACGAGGACACTAAAGGGTAACTGTTTTCTCGTCAACTCAAAACAGGCCGTGCAGAATATGTCTTGTATCACTGCGCTGAACGATGTCACTCGTACTGGTGTCTACATTTTGGTTTGCTCATTAAAAAGTAGTTTGTGAAGTCATTTTGTTGACGTATTTCTACAGCGAAGTCAGTTCATAAATGCACAAAATGTCTTCAGTGCTATGAACGTAAATGATACAGAACTAAATGTTTTAGGAAAAAGGTAAGCACTCGCATGCTGTAGAATGAATGAATCGTCTTTAAACCTGTATGGTTATATATTAGCGCCATATGTGTGTATGTACTTGTTTACATCCCATTCACAGCAAGACGTGTATACAGGATACGTGCTTACACATGTTGAGAGGGGTTATTTATAGTTAGCAAACAAGTTCAGATTAAAGATGAAAGGTATCTAAACAGTAAACCATGGGGCAGGGTTGTTGGGGGATCATGTTGTAGTGGTGATACTGCAATACTGAAGCTTACACTATACATGACGTCATAATGAATATTACGACACTGAAGCCCTCTATATACACAACGCCATAATGGATATTGCAGTACTGAAGCCTACCATATACATAACGTCATAATGGATATTGCAGCACTGAAGCCTACCATATACATAACGTCATAATGGATATTGCAGCACTGAAGCCTACCATATACATAACGTCATAATGGATATTGCAGCACTGAAGCCTACCATATACATAACGTCATAATGGATATTGCAGCACTGAAGCCTACCATATACATAACGTCATAATGGATATTGCAGCACTGAAGCCTACCATATACATAACGTCATAATGGATATTGGAGCACTGAAGCCTACCGTATACATAACGTCATGATGGATATTGGAGCACTGAAGCCTACCATATACATAACGTCATAATGGATATTGTAGCACTGAAGCCTACCATATACATAACGTCATAATGGATATTGCAGCACTGAAGCCTACCATATACATAACGTTATGATGGATATTGCAGCACTGAAGCCTACCATATACATAACGTCATAATGGATATTGCAGCACTGTAGCCTACCATATACATAACGTCATAATGGATATTGTAGCACTGAAGCCTACCATATACATAACGTCATAATGGATATTGCAGCACTGAAGCCTACCATATACATAACGTCATAATGGATATTGCAGCACTGAAGCCTACCATATACATAACGTCATGATGGATATTGTATCACTGAAGCCTACCATATACATAACGTCATGATGGATATTGTAGCACTGAAGCCTACCATATACATAACGTCATAATGGATATTACTGCCCCGTAGCCTACGCAAGACGTCCACCCAGGACAACCTGGCTTACTCCGTAATACCGAGCTGCAGAGACATAGTGATATCCCATGATTCACTGCAATGTCAGATCACACCGAACAGAGATCGCGTAAGTGTTCACCTTGGTTGTAAAATGGAAAATAATCAGAACCTCCATGTTATGTTCGGGACTGCCACCGGGCAGGCTGAATTCCACCCTGTATATATCACAACTTCATACCTTGTGTGACTTCTTGTTTACACTGACAACCAGGCACCAATAAGCCGCATTAAGGAATATAATATTATATATTTAGGTTTGTGGTCATGTAGCCGACTACTCGTCGTGCTGAGGGGACAGAACACATGACAGGACTGTTGCATATAATGCATGACGCCATGCTCGACATTGCACGCCTTGACGTCACGCTGGACACTGATATGCCGCTGTATGCGCCAAACATGACCTTGGGGGGACGTTAATGCATGACACCGACGGTAAATTGTGTGTATATTTAGCATCTCTTGTTGATCATCGGCTGGTTAATGTTCATTGAAGTGGTCGAGCGTGATAATGATAATGAATGTCAGCGCCCGTTTCTGTAAGAGTTCGGTGAATGTTGGTTGATGTAGACGATGACGCAGAGATAGCGGCGATTTAGAGCGTGCTCCCCAAAGGGCAGGTAGCAGGTGATGACAGCTGGGTCACCGGTGTATCACAACCAGTAGTGCAGCTCAAACAGAGTTTTCATCAATGCACATATTTCATGTATGGGGAACCGTAATACATACTTTCTAACATCGCCTGTCATCTGTAAAAACCTAATTACAAGAAACAGATGGCCTTGTGGATGTGCAACACTGAAGGCCTTTCACAAAGGTTGTCGTTTAATCAATATGGTATTTATAGCCTAAACACCACTTTTGATAAATTATTAGATTGACAATTAAACGTCATGGTAATAGAATACAGCACGGTCATATCCTAAAGCAACTCACTGCCTGCAGATAACGCTCTCTGATCGAAATGCCAAAGCGATTTACATTGTCATAACAAGAAAACGTTTCTAGACAAATCACCTGAAACGAGGCATTATTAGATTAGCTTACTTCTGTTATGTCAACGGGACCAGACACTAACCAATGTTTGCGCAATGTATTATTATACCACTGTGGTTAAGCACGAAAATCGCAAGGGAGTGATCGGAAGATTCTTAAGCACGTTATGTTGAAAAACAGCCAATAGAGGCATCCTTCCATTTAATTCCTGATGTACATGCACCGATTTCAGATATACATAGGTGTCAAGTATCACAGCGAACCAGATGGGAGTGAAGGTGAGTGAGTGAGTATGGTTTTACGCCGCTTTTAGCAATGTTCCGGCAACATCATTGTACCCATGTGGGGAATCGAATCCGGGCCTTCGGCGTGACGAGCGAACGCTTTGGCCTCTAGGCTACCCCACCGCCCCTATATTTTCCTGAAACAAGGGTCCCTTTACTGAATACTAAGCTTGATATGACGTGGATATATTCACACATTACGGTGGACCTATCTGTACTACACACCTCTCTGTTATCACATTACGATGATATTACTGGATATGACGTATAACAGTCCTTGACGACAAAGGTGGAATGCGCATGTAAACGTGGCTTTCTTTGTTATGATGTATTTTTATCATCTTTGACATCTGGTCAGTGCTTACGAGCGACGAGAACAGTTGATCAAATTAAGAACAATAGCATCAATACATCCAAAATATGTTATACCCCAATTAGTCCCTAATTAAGAACTTTAGCCTGACAGTAGTATAAAGACCCCTCTGAAACATTGGCTGTGTGTCCATTGACAGTGTGTGAATGAGTGTTTGTTTTATACGAATGGAACAATATACGATTTAGATACCAAGGTATCCGCTGTAACGTGCATGAAACAATCCAGTCACAAACAAGGTGCTTCCACCTGTAACCTGTCGCCTCGGTCCTCGCTACCTCCCAATACTTCACAGACACACTTGGGAGGCCTTAATATACATTGTTTTTTATACTAACCGTTCGGAAAAATACAGGAACTTCAATTTCCCATGGGCGAATTATTGTCAAGAGCCCCAGTATTAAATAATTCATCCATTTGTGAAAAAAATTAATTTCTCTTTCAGAAAAACAACAACATTGGTTTTGTCTTTGTTTAGCTAGCCCATGTACTGATATTTCCTGAACGGGAAAACCAGTAAAAATTTAAGATGAAACATTCAACACAGGGGAGGATCCAGAAGGGGTGGGGTGGATAGCTAGTCTCACGTCTTCATTATCTTCCATGTGTACTCTCGTTATACAAACAGGGTTCACGCTCCCTGCCACATGACCTGATGTAGATTCTGGAGCCTGTGTCTGCACGTGGCAGGATGTGTGCCGGACGCCACACAGTGGACGGGGATCTGGAAGAGATGATTGGTCATACCCCCAACAGTCTGTTAATCTCTTTACTTTATTAAGTATCCTCGCATATTCTATTCTGTCCGTGTGTGTCAGTATATATAGTACGTAGTGTTGAGTTCATATATACATCAACTCGACAATAGATATAGCTTCCAGGAAGCTCTTATATCCAGCGAACCCGAACCTCTGATAACCTGATCTCTGATTCTTATTAAAGACATTGTATTCCAACAGTGCTGTCTGTGTGACGTCCTGAGAGTTATTGAACTATTCAGGCCATGCTGTGGGTCGATGGAGTAGACTGCCTGATGGGAACATCGGCTTTGATGCATGATGCTGAAGGAATCTGATTGTCAGGTGATGTTTACTGTGACCTGCACACCTCGTTACTGTGCATGTGGGCCTGATGGAAGCAGAAATGATTCAAATTCCTGTGCAGCTGGTACAAGATAATTCCTGTTTTCTCTGTGAACCTGC